TCTCCGCTGGGCTCTGCAGGCACCAGCACCGGCTTCTCCTCCCAGCCCGAGTTGGTGGGGTGTTCAGCAGCCTTGCTACTAAAAAGCTTTAAAAGCTTTGTCCCTGACAAGGTGGTTGCTGTCGCTAGCAGCCCTCTGAGAAAGCCCAAACCCAATCAAACATAATCAAGCAAGTCAAAAGCAATTACAGAGCCAACATCTGCACCGTCAAAACTCCCGGCCGGTGTCGTGCTGCAGAGGCGGGGGGAAGCTAATCTTCCTCCTGTTGAAATCATCGCCCCCGATTATTAACTTAGAGGATTAGGCACGGCACTAATTGAACAACAACAAAACCCAAACGTCATTACCCTGTCCTTTCCCATCACTGCAATCTCCTCGCGTCTGATGGAAGCTGTTTGCGTATGAGGCAAACGAGACAAACCCCACGTGTAAATTCATTAAAGCCACTGAGCGTAACTGATTCCAGCGCCTCGAAGGGACACAGGCTGCGGCACAGGGGCCACCCAGACCCCCCCTCCCGATCCCAGCATCCAGCCCTGCCTCGAAACCTGTGCCCAGGGACCACCCAAGGACGAGGGGTATCAGCGAAGGAGCTCGCAGCCCGCGGGGACCCGGGGCAGCCGAGGTGACTTGCCTGATGTCGTAGCCATACATGTCCTTCTCCGGCCGCCCGTGGATGATCCAGTGAGCCAGCTCCCTCCCGCAGCCGCCTCCCAGCATCATTCCTGGGAGAAGAGGTGAGGACTCAGACGAGGTCAGGAGGCCAAGTGCGGCTGTGGGTGCCGGGCTCCGCCCGGGATATGATGTCTGCATTGGGATGCCCGAGGTGGGATCTCTTCAGGTCTGTCTTACCAGCACTGTTGAAACCACAGCCAAGGAAGAAGCCTCGGACCTCTGGGGCTTCCCCCATGAGCGGTTTATGGTCAGCCGTGAATGACTCTGAAAGACACAGAGGGGTGACATGGAGCTGTTAGAGTGAGTCCAGAGGAGGCCACAAAGATGATCCAAGGGCTGGAGCACCTCTGCTATGGAGACAGGCTGAGAGAGTTGGGATTGTTCACCCTGAAGAGAAGGCTCTGGGGACATCTTCTAGCAGCCTTCCAGTACTTTAAGGCATCTACATGAAAGCTGGAGAGGGGTTTTTGACAAGGGCGTGTAGTGATAGCACAAGGGGCAATGGCTTTAAACTGAAAGAGGGTAGATTTAGATTAGATCTAAGGAAGAAATTCTTTACAATGAGAGTGGTGAGGCACTGGAACAGGTTGCCCAGAGAAGTTGTGGCTGCCCCATCCCTGGAAGTGTTCAAGGCCAGGTTGGATGAGGCTTTGAGCAACCTGGTGCAGTGGAAGGTGTCCCTGCCCATGGCAGGGGGGTTGGAACTAGATGATCTTGAAGGTCCCTTCCAACCCAAACCATTCTATGATTCCATGTGCCAGCAAGGCCAGGACAGGTGTTTTGGAGACACATCACCCACTTCAGGAGCAGGGTTCCTACAGCTTCCCATGCTGGCCTTGGCCTGCTCCTGCTCCCAGAGAGGTCAATGGGGCCAGAACTGGACCAACACCCAGTGCATCTCCCACCTGCACTTTCCCAGCAGTGCCCAGGTGGCAGATGCCAAAGAGAAGGCTGCCCTGGCATCACACAGGGGTCTTGTGCAGGCTCCTGAAGCCAATATACACACTATATATACGTATATTTGCTTCAGAAGCTTGCATGAGTGTACACACATGCACACACACATACATATGCACATCGCACTGCCAGAGGCAGAGGCAGGTGCTGGTGGCATGAGGCAGCTCCTTTGCAGCCCTGCACGTTGTAGGGTCTGTCCCTGCACCGTCGAGACCTGGGGCTCAGGGTAACTGTGCCCTCCGCACCCCGGGGAGCTCGGCAGCGCTCGCTGCACCCCAGCACTGTGAGGGGAGGACCTCAGCGTCAGGGTTTGGATGGAAAATTTGCAAAGCAGAATGAATCCTCAACCAGAAGGTGCACGAGGTGCCGCGGTAGCTGACACCACCTCTTCCTTTGCCCCGATCCCCCAGTCAAGGGGGCTGCACCGACCTGTTTGTTGCCTCTTCCACATCTGAGCCCTATTTCACTATGATGACTACATTTCACTTTCACTGATTTCTGCTATGAAATTTCATGAATTTAAGCCACTTTATTCAGCTGAGGGATTGCTGTCGATGTCACCCGAGGCTCCTCTGCTAATGGTGCCCCATGCTGCCAGCTCCTGCTCCCCATCAGGCTGCCAACCACAGTCCCTGTGCGAATCCTCCCTAGGGTGGACAGAGCAAAACACCCTGACAGCGGTGCGCAGTCCTCCTCCCTCTTTTATGGTGGTTCATCCACCGTGTGAAAGGAGAGGGAAGACAGAGCTCAGCCTGGTACTTCCCCTGCCCAGCAACACCCAGTCTTGTTTCCCAAGATTTCTGTGCTCAGGAGAAGGCAAGAGAAGAGTCAGGAGATTATTTCATCCCGATATCCCTGTACCAGTACGTCAGGCTACAAGTTCACTGAGTTAATGCAGCATCTCCCCTTCACCAGCAGTGTGCATCAGCGTTGCTGACTTTGCACCAGGACGGATGCTGGGTGCTCCCACGGGACCTTGGCCCGCTTGGCTGCAGGGCTGGATCAGCAGCCAAAGCAGAAACAGCTTAAACCACCCCAATTCGGTCTGTTTTTGTCCCCTGTGCCCAATGCACAGCACGGGAGCTGTGCTGGGGTGAAGTATTTCCCACGCAGCAGAAAGGACGAGTGTTTGCTGCTTGCTTCAGCCCAGCGTGACTCAGCTGTCGCACGCAAACCAGCTGCTGGTTTAAATCAAGAAGTAGAAAAGGAGGATCGCTGACCCTTTGGAAATGACATTACTGTGTTACAAACACCCGGCACATATCTCTGAGAAGGCAGCTCCCCACCAGAGGCCACCAGCTCTGCTCACACCACAGTTCAGTCAAACCCGCCGTACCTGGGGCCAAGCCTTCCCCTTGTCCGTGCCATGGTGTATCTGCCAGGGCAGGAGATGTGCCCTACCTTCCCCTCGTACAGCAGCACCGTTCCCCGCCCCGAGAGCCTCGAGGGTTTCCCTTTAAGTGCTTCAGCAAAAAGGGATTTTTTTTTAATTATTTTTTTAGCATGTGCTGGATTTCAAGGCCAACCCAAGTGGGCAGGGTTTGGGTGCGACAGCTGGCATCACTTCCAGCTGCCACTGCAGCAATGCCACAACCTTTAACCCCACACCAGGCAGCCTGGGATGTAAATCTAGTGTCATCGGCCCAGAAGCAAGTAGTAAAAATAATAATAATATAATACTTGTAAAACAATGGCCACTGCTTGAAAAAAAACCTGCCCCTTAATTCCCCAGTCCAGTGGCCACGACACGGGCTGTAAATCTGCACTGGCCACCCCCCAGTTTGGACCGAGGCAATAAGGTCCCCGGGTGTTTCTGCACCCAGGCTGAGCCTGCGATGCCACCCCTCGGAAGGTGACACCATTGCAGCCAAACCACAGGTGCTGTCTCTGCTTTCAGGGAGTTTTCCTTCTTTATGAAGTTTCCCCCTCGCTTCCAGCGAGATGCCCGGAGGGACGCAGCCACCGCGGTGCCACCGCTGCCGCCTCACCTGGCCCGCACACGGTGGATTTGATGCCCGTTTGCTCCAGCACTGGCACTCTGTTGACGGCACCTTCAATGTGTTGCGTGAAAACATCCCAGTCCAGATCAAAGAGGCCAAAAGCAAATTTTTCAGATACCTGAAAGTGGAAAGCAGGAATTGGGACACAAAACAGAGCACAGCTGATGGTGTAAGAACTTCTCAGCTCTGGCAGCCTTGGAGACCACAGAAAATCCAGGTTTCTTTGGGTTTTCATGAACAGCCCAGCTGAGCCAAAGGTCTGGGGCAGAGCTCGAATTAAGACACCTGCACCCGGACAAAGGGATGATGCAGCGGGGCAGGGACTGCACAGCAGCCTCTAAACCCCCCCAGCCCAGCCCAGCCCAGCCCAGCCTTTTCATCCCATTCCTGTTGCCTCTGCACTTCATATCCACACTCCAGACAGATCCGAAGCGAAGATGCTGTCCTGTGCTTCCACCACTGGCTGCACAGAGTTTTTTTTCGGGGGCTGAGGCACTCAGGCCTGTGCCCACCCCTCCAAGATGGGCTCCCTGGAAACCTGCCTCGTTCCCCCAGAAAACTTCCCGGCACCACTCACCTCCTCACAGAAGATTGGGTTTGACTCATATCCACCCACGGAAAGGGCATCGCCTTGGAGACGGAGATACACCGAGGCGTCGTGATCGCGAACGTTTGGCATGTTCTGAAAAACGGGGAGGGGGAGCGGAGGGGTGAGAGGGGGCTGAGAGCCGCGGGAGACCCTGACATCCCCTGGAAAGGCTGAGCGGGATGAGCTGGGGGTCTGGGGTACAGGGTCAGCTCCTGCAGCAGTGACCCGACAAGGATGGGAGCAGTGGTGGCTCCATGGATGTTCCCACTGCCCTGAAATTTGGGTGCCCTCAGCTCTCCAGCTGCTCCTCTGCAGCACGGCCAGCACAAGGGATGCTCAAGGGAGCGGGAGCAGCCGTTGTGGTTGATCCCAGCTTGGGAAGCATGGCTCCTCTGCCACCTGCCTCCGCGGGAGGATGCAAGAGTGCGCAAAGAACGAGGGATTTGTTCTCGTGAATAATGGATAGAGAAACATTTCGATAGCATGGAAGTATCGGTGTAGGGCCTGCTGCAGTTCATGTTGACAAACGGAATTAAGCGGATTAAACAGGAGGCACTGGGGTCTGCAAGCTGCAGCTTCTGCTCTGAAAAGTCTCTTTCTCACCGTGTTCATATGGTACAGTGGAGTTACTGGGATATAAATGTCATCATTGACACCAGCATTTTTGAAAATGAGGCATTTCGAACTGAAAAGTCAGACACAGCCTGTGCCAGTGGGATGGAAACTAAATGATGTGTCACCCTCCAAGCCCTGGCGCCTGAGTGAATGAGTTTCCTTTGACTCCTGAACAATTCTCCACAGGCAGATGGCAGGAACAGGTTTCTTGGGAGAGTTTAGAAATGCTGGGAGAGCTACACCTCTGCCTGCCGGGACTGGGGCTTGTTCAGAAAACGTTTGGCATCTTTATGAATGCTGCTGTCAGCCACCAAACACTTCAGAGACCCCATAATAATTCTACTGAGGTGAAAAAAAAAGAAGGAAATTACTCTGCTAGTCGTAACACTGTTAAATATTAAATACAACTCTACTAAAGGCAGTCTGATAGTCCTGCCAGGAGAAGAAGCTGCTGGGTGTGGAATTCTCCGGGTGCAGAGCCTGACCTGGCAGCACAGGCTCATGTTGAGGGCAGGAATGTGGGGGGGTCCCACAAGTCTGGGGGTGCTGGAGGGGTCTGTCCCATCTCACCCTGCCCGTACAGGGGGGCAGGAGCCCACACTGTCCTCCAGAGCCGAGGAGCTGATCTGCAGCCGCGAGACTGACCTGAATGCCCTCGATGCGCTCGGTCACCACGTAGGCGTGATGCATCCCCACCAGCGGCACGTGCACGCCGGCCAGCCGGCCCAGTGCGCGTGCCCACACCCCTGCGGAGAGAGCAGCCCCGCACTGAGCACCTCTCCGTCCTCTGGAGACCTGCGGTGGTCTGGGGGCGACAGTCAGATGGGGGGACAAGGACTGATGCAGACCCTCCATCACACGGGATGCAAAGCCACCCGCTGTCCTGTGGCCGCAGCCCCTGTCCCCCACCTCTCCCCGCTGTGCTTTGTGCCCTGTACCTGCGCAGTTCACCACGCAGGGAGTCTGGATGGTCCCATGGGCTGTCTCCACCGCATACACCCTCTTCACCCCGAAATCATCGGCTCTGACCTGGATGCCAGTGACTGGGCAGTTCTCGATGATCTGGTGGCAGAGGAAGGGCAGCAGAGTCATGGCCGGGGCACAAGGGCAGTGGGACAACCTGGTCCCCCTGACATCTACCCCCTAAATCTGGGAAAGGTGATTCCAGGCAGCAGCTTGGCACTGCCAATCTCCCTTTCCCAACGGCTATTACTGTTATTACTGGTAATAATGTGCCACCCTTGAGTGCAGGCCTAACCCGCTGCTCTGTGCACCCGCAGCTGCACAGGGGGGTTGTTATTTACACACACGTGAGCTCAGCAATGCACCCAGCACGGGCTGGTGGTCCCTGCTTTGCAGAGTGGATTGTGCTACCTGACCCTAAAACCTCTGGTCTCCTGAGGAACCTGCCTTGGGCGCTGCCTTGTCTTGCTCCTAAAGGTCTTTTTTTTCATCCTGTATTTTCCCTGAATCTCATGGTTCCTGCCATGAGTTTGGGTCACTGTGACCCAAACTGCCGTCAAAGCTGAACAGGACAATAACCTTCTTGGGCAAAGACCTGATGCTGCAGGAGCAGTTCTTCTCTAGGGAGAAAGGAGAAGATGGGGAAGGCAAAAGATGAAATCTCCTCCCAGGGTCAACAGGCATTAATGAGTAATTACTAATTAGGAACTACCGTAGCGCCTCTGGCAGTTGCTGCTCTGGCAAGAGTTGAGCAGGTACCAGCTGGATCCATGGTGCCGTCCTTGGGGACATACAGTGTGCCGTACAGGTCATCGATGTTCATCAGCGGGTACAGGTCCTTGGTCTGTGATGGGCTCAGGACGTAGGACTCCACACCGTACACCTTCCCCAGCTGCCAACCGGACAAGGAAACCAGGAGCTCAAGCAGGCAGCAAAAGCTTCGCTCATCACTTGCTGCTGGAGGAGGAGGAGACCTCCAGGACATGTTTAACTCCCAGATGAGGCAACTGCTGCCCCAAGGCAAGCCCAAAATCCAGGGTGGGGTGGGTTGGTCTGCACAGATTTCAGGGAACATGGTGCCACATTCCCATGCAAGCTGCTGGAAAAGCGATGCTATGCTACCGCTATCCGAATGGGCAAAAATCCATGGCTGGATTTAATTTTGCCTACTCTGCCAGCATTTTGCCTGATTTCAGCAGCCTTTCATGAGCCGGGAGGCTGCCCTTGAAGCATAACCCAGGCCACTCACAGTTCTCCGGGTGGGAAGGCAGGGACGGGCC